ATATACAAAATTTATCTCAAAATAGATCAAATATGTAAATGTAAGTGTAAAAGCTATATAACACTTAGAAGACAGCATAGGAATAAATCTTTTATACTTTGGGTTATACAATGTTTTCTAAGATAAGACACCAAAAGCATAGATGACAAAAAGTAGGTCCATCAGACTTCATCAAAATTAACCACTTGTGTACTCAATGAATACCATCAATAAAGTGAAACGGTAACACAGAAAATGGGAGAAAATGTTTACAAATCATGCATCTGTGTTAAGATACTTATATCCAGAAAATGTATGTAACTTTCACTACTAAGTTACAAAAAGACAAATAGCTCAATTTTAAATGAGCAAATAATTTGAATAGACGTTTTTCCAAAGAGGATATAAAAACCTTCACGCTATTTGAATTGTACTAGAAATTGTTTTTAATTAAACCTATGATTATTTTATGAATAGTCATATTTTTTCATTAAATTAAAACATTCATTAAAAATATAAATATGAAAAAATACACCAGTTTTAACCCTATTTTGCAAATATTTATATGTGTTTGTTTCCTATTTTATTAGCTGCTAGTATCAATAAATATGGAGCTAGGCCAGATATCATTCAATCTCTTAAGCACGGTTCTGTCATCTGATAAATCGGGTATGGAGCACACACTGGGGTATTGGAAGGTTTTGTGAGTGGCTATCAGAAACCATTCTGAATTGATGAATTAGCTAGATCGTATTTGGCTACCCTGAAAACAGTGCTACTATGGCTATCTCTGCTCTGTAATTTACCTGTCAGCTAGGGTACTGTTTGCACCACTGTGACTCCAGAGGATGTGGGCTAGGCTCATGCGTTATGGACTGTACAACCATGTGAAAGAAAGAGGTAGGAGCATAAAGGCACACTGAAAAAGCTCTAGTGTATAACTGAAGCTTATATTTATCTACTCAAATAGCCTGGTTTGGTAATGTCCACTGTGCGCCACATGAAGATTAACTATTTTTAAAAAGAGCTACAGCAAACATTCATCTCCTTTGTCCTTTGTACTGTATGTCACTCACATTTCATTTTATGTGGAGTCTCAGAGGATGAAGGCATTATTTGAAGTCATAAATGACTAATTTTATGCAGAGGCTATCACCATCTGCAATCCACAGAAATATTCAAAATAAATGCAGTAGGTATTCTGTGGTTTACTTCTAATGACCTTCCAAAATATTTAACTAATGTTATAATTAACTGGTGACAGATGCAATTACTTTCTAGTAGAAAAATTAAGTCACTATATATCATTATCAGTAGTCTGATTAATTATCCATAGCAATGGTAGAAGTAAGCTCCTTAATTAAAAATCAAAATTGCAGGACCATACTAAAGAAGGACTTCTCCAAGCCTATTTGATATATTAATATTTTTTGACATTTCATGACATCATCATCATGATCATCTTCATCACCATAGTCGTCATAGAAAAAAAATGAGGGTTTCCAAATGCATTAAAGCACCTTCTTTATATGAATTTTTTCATTTAATTTACACAAAAATCCTACAAAGTAAGAGGCAATCATAATATTCTCATTGTACAGATGAGACTTAAAGAGGTTAATTAACTTGCTCAAGATACCTCATCTTGCAAATTCCAGAGTCCTCCTGTTTATCTTTATGGAGTGAATGTCTGATGTCCTAACAATTTCACACTTCTCCTCTCATCTAAAAACATTTTTAATGCAAAGGTACCAGTACCTGCCACAGCCATAAATAAATATCTTATCCTGTCTTTTGGAGATAGTAGCACAACACAAAATCGGACTAACCAATCAACGGACAGAGAGTTTTTCTCGATCAAGAGTAACAAATCAATGTCAAAGTTAGAAGAGAAAGCCAGGCTGGGTACTCATAGCCAATATGTCTGCCAAAATCAGAATTTATTGCTACTTTCAACAACTACTTGTTTTTATTGGTTTATGTTCGGCAACAGTGTTATACTACAGGAAACTTCAAAATATTTATTTTATACCTATTCTGGGTGCTTTTTATAGACTTTTCTCACAGCAATCCTGAAAGGTAGGTATATTGTCATGATTTTAGAGGGTATATAACTTATAACATTTTCAAGGTCCCCCTTAGGATTCCCAACACGTTTTCAGATTCTAAAGACCATGTACTTACCTTCCAAACAATATGGCCTTTCTGATGCACTGAGTGTTGTTCATTAAAACCTTGATATGAAGACTAAGAACCAGAGACAAAGTGGAACTGAGAAAGAAAGATGGAAAAAATATCTGGAAGAAAATTTGGGTTAAGTATGAGAGTGGAATGGAGATTGAGAGAGGGTGTTAGAAGGCCATGTTTCCCTGTTTGTTTTCTTTTTCCTTTGAGACAGTCTCACTCTGTCACCCAGGCTGAAGTGCTGTGGTATGATCTTGGCTCACTGCAACCTCTGCCACCTGAGTTCAAACAATTCTCCTGCCTCTCAGCCTCCTTAGTACCTAGGACTACAGGCACATGCCACAACTCCTGAGTGATTTTTCTATTTTTAGTACAGACAGTGTTTCACCATGTTGGCCAGCCTGCTTTCGAACTCCTGATCTCAGGTGATCCACTTGCCTTGGCCTCCTAAAGTGATGGGATTACAGGTGTGAGCCACCGTGCCTGGCCCCTGTTTGTTTCTAATGATGAATCCAAGCATAATTCCAGAGAAGGAAAGTAACAACAAAATGCCAGGTCCTTGTTTAAGACTCTCCTCTGTCTGTCCTTGCTCTCACCATCCAGTGGCTTAAGTTATAATTTATGTTCATTGGAGTTAGCGTTACTCAGCAGAGCTGACTTCTTGAGCTGAGGATTTTATTGTATATCTATAAATAGAAATGACATTTAGAATAAGTATGTGAATAAAAAAGTTAAAAAAAAATAAAGGTGTTTTTTTTTTTTAAATCACGTTTCAGATGGTGAATTGTGACCTTTCGTGAGTGGAACCCCAACAAGTGCTGGCCACACTGAGATTCAACACCAGGGAAGGTTTAGTTTTCAGCACAAAGTAGATATTCAACACATGACTGCTGAACTAATATTAACAAAATGTAACCACCAGGCTAGCTCCCTTAGCCACCAAACATCTTTTAGGTCCCACTTACTTAGCCACCAAACATCTTTTAGGTCCCACTTACCCCATTTGAGTAAAATGAGGTCCTCTCAGGCAGAAATTGCTTTGTATTAGAGAGACTAAAACTTAAGGAGGGAAATACACTATAAATAAAAAGTCCACGACAAATTGAGATGATATTATGGGGTCATCTGTATCCTGCTGATTTGTCAATTTCCATCATGTAATCATGGGGTGGAAGCATTTGTCCTGTAGAATTTAGAGCCAGTTTCTCAGAGTCCCACCTATTCCAGAGAAGAAAGCAGGGATTGTATTTTCAAACGTAGGTTCTGATATAAAAATACCAAATTAAAGTGGTTTAACTGAACTTTGTCTTTTTTATTTAAAAAAATACATTTTTTTTCCTTTTAAGACAAAGTAAAATACAGAAAAAAAAAAGCAAAACCCAAACCAAACAAAAGCAAACCAACAAACAAAAAACAGGATCATTCAGATTGTCACTTTGGGACTAAATGAAATATAAGTCGTTATGAAATTGTAGAATCTTAATTAAGGGAAGTGGAAAGCAGGTGCAGGGTTAGTAAGAAACGGGTAACTTTTTGGTGACATTAGTATGGTGAAAGCAGCACTCCCCGTGGATAGAGCATCTGCATATCATCATGACTCATAACATGAAACTGCCACAATGCAGGAGCACTCATTTTTTCAGAAAATTCTTTGATTCAGAGTGTGATGTTGCCATTCAGTTAACATACTCCAAAAATATTGTTGAGAAACCAGAGAGGGAAATAATTGAAGTGGAAATTCTGGAAACAGAGACAAATTGTGTGGGGAAAGAACCCTGAACACCCTTGACTAGGAACTGAAGAGTACAGAATCTTCGCCCTCACTGTCAGAATGGATTCTTGGAGACTCACATTTTGATTATGTGCATGAGGGTTTCTACTTTTTATTTCTTGAAATAATGCGAGTCTGGGCTTGGTGGCTCATGCCTGTAGGTTGAGGCAGGTGGATCCCTTGAGGTAAGGAGTTCCAGACCACCTGGGCCACATGGTGAGGCCCTGTCTCTATAGAAAATAGAAAAAATATTACCCAGATACTCAGGAGGCTGAGGTAGGAGGATTGCTTGAGCCTGGGAGGTGGAAGTTGTTGTGAGCTGAGATTACACATCAGCTTGGGTCTGGGCAACTGAGCAAGATCCTCTCTCANAAAAAAAAAAAAAAAAAAAAAAAAAAAAAAAGGAAAGAAAGAAAGAAATTAGAGAAAAGTAAAAGAAATAATGAGGAGGAGGAAGTTGTAGAGGCTGCAATGTTAGTGAAAGATCTTTACTCCAGGACCTTTATACTGATTTCCCAAGTAAACCTGTGAAACAGCCACCATGACAAACTTTCTACAAATGCTGGGGGAGGGGTTCATGTAGATTAAGTAATGGATGCACAGCTAATACTTGGCAGGGCAGGAATGCAAACACATTTCTCTCCTTTACTAAAGATTTTACACCCTTTATTGCACAGAGCTGGAAACAGAAGGGGAAAGGTGGACATCTGTATTTGCATATGTATATGTTTATGTCTAGTCCCTCATGTCTAAGGCCTCATTTTGTTTTTACATTTATCTTTATCGCCATATCCCAATTCGAAAATCTGTCCCCTCCCCCCCTCCCCTCCCCTCCCCTGCCCTCCCCTGCCCTCCCTTTCTGCTTGGAGTTCATTTTCCACTTGTGTCAGGTGCACAGTTCTGGGTGTCAGGAAACCTCCTAGGTGCTGAGGCTGGGCCAGACTAGGCCGTGGAGAGCAGGGCCCTCACTCCTCTTTGGTGTCTGCTGTGTGGATGTGGAGTTGTGCTGGCTGCAGCGACCTAGTCTACAGGGTGGGGGGTGCGGCGTGGGGGTGGGGAGGGGGCGGGAGGGGCTCTGGTGGCCTAGCACGTCCACAGGCCTGGGGCTGGTGGTCACCCCTCAGGTCAGGACGGGGGCCCAGTCCAGCAGTGCTGAACTGACCACGGGGCTCCTCGGGGCATCTGGAGCCAGGCCACAGGTGGTCATGCTGCTGGAGGCCTGGGGGCGTTCCGCGTGCTCTGCGGACTCCAGCACCGTGGCCATGAACTGGAGGGTGGACCTCCCGAAAAGAAGCTGGCCCAGCAGTGACCCTGGGCAGCCTTGGGGATACCCGGGGGGTGGGGAATGGCTTCCGCGGGGCACTCGGTACTGCCGCAGGAGCTGTTGCTGGAAGTGGAACCCAGGCGGCGCCGGTAGTAGTCGTGGGTAGCCAGGAGCCAGCGGCTGGAGGGGATGGCTGCCATGCTCTGCCTCGCGGGCTGGTGGGACCTGGGCGGCGACCCCTCCAGGCCTCTGCGTGATCACAGGTGTTGGGGATGGGGGCGCTTGGCCACGGAGCCCATTTGCAGAGGAGAACACGGGAGTGCGCTCCACGACCGAGACGCGCGTGTGGAGTCCACTTACTTACTTTTCTACGAATGCAAAGATTGGCGAAGATTGTCTTAGCGCGATGAAGACACAAGATCAAACCATTGAAAATGATGACTACAATGAACATTGTCTTTAAAAAACACAACTGTTCTTGAGGAAGCACTTTTAAAATGTTTTCTAAAGAAATAAAAAAAGAGTTGCACATTATTTTATACTATCCATCAATATAGAAGCCTGAATATGGATGGCACCCAAGGGCATCTGAGGGGAGCACGTGGCTTCTGGAAAAGAGTGTGAATTTTGCTGTCTGGAAGCACAGAGGAGTTGCCTTTTACTCTGGCATTACTTTTTAAAGGTGGCGCGTGAGGCAAGGTTATGTCACTTCTGAAAATCCCTTAAGGGGACACACTCACTGTGCCATCTCTCAGTGAGTCTAAGTGAAATTCTTCTCTGGGGGTGGGCACAATGGATCTTCTGTGATTGAGCATCTGATGAAGTAGTTGGTGCCTCTACAGGGCCAAGCTGTGTGAAAAAGTCTTGTGCTTTATATTTTGAAAAGACCCCAAGCCACTCATAAGATCCCACTGTGAAAGGTTCTGACAACTGAGACTGAGGAAGCAAACGGCAGTCAGGTCCCCTGTGCCCTGTTCTTTCAGGGAGCACACTCATTACACAGAATGGAAGGAGGCAGTGCTTCCCACTGATTGGCTAGTCAGAGCGTTCTCTGTCCTTTCCCCCTTTTTCTCTCTCCCTTTGCTTCTCTCTTTCTCTCTCTATCCCCCGTCCACTTCTCTCTCTCTTTCCCCTACTTGGCTTCGCTCTCTTTCTCTTACACACATACATACATTTCTCCCTTTTTTAAGTAGATGGGATTGGAAATTCCTGTAAGATACAAAGCAACTACTGTATGCAAAATGGTGAAGAGCCTCTGCATTTCAATTCAGGCTCCAGGACTTAGGTACACAATTTAAGCTTCAAAAACCTTAACTTCCTCATCTGTAAAATGGGGATAATAACAGTAATGATATCAGTGAGTTGTTGAGATAACAATGTGAAGGGCTTAGCACAGTGCCTACCTCTCCTTAATTTTTCAATAGCAGCTCATTGCCAGTGTTCTCTTGCTGTACTCAACCATTGGTGAATACTCTGATAATCACAGAGGTCACCTTTCCAGGAGTCACTTCCTCTCTGACTTCTCCTTGGAACCACGTGTTCTAGTGATTTCCCATCTGCCAAGGCCCAGAATTTAACAGATTACATGAAGAATAATTTTCTTTCATTATGTTTGAGCCTTGCTGCTCCTGTAACATTTCACTGATGTCTACTTGGCTATTTGATTAAATTTTAGTTAAATATTTGGTAGTCTGTGCTGTGTTTTATATTTTACGTGCACTTTTCTTCACTGAACTGGCCAGATGAGGTAAAAATGAAGCAACAGCTTGGAAAAAAGGTAGCTAGGATGATTTTCACTTTTCCTGTTCGTACTCTCTCTCCTTTTATATATTTTCTTTGATGCAGATACATCTGGTGTTTCTTCCTCTTGTCGGCTGCCTTTCTCAGCTAGGCAGAATGGGTCTTACAATGGAGAGGAGACCTAAGAAAACTTTGCTGAGTGGCAGCAGAATTTGGGATACCACATTGTACCAGAAATAAATAAAACAATATGGATGAATACTGAACTGTTGTTACTTTGAAAATAAGATATTATAAGATAGATATCTAAAAAATAAGCATGCCAAAAATATGAGTAGTGAAATGAACCTTAGGTATAATAGAAAATCCGAGGAGAAAACATATATCATTGGCTAGGAAGCCTAGGTATCTATCAGGGAATAGTGTTATGCATCTTAGTATATTGAGCAAAAGTTTCAATGCTGAAAAATTCATGGGGAGAAATGAAAGCATGAAAGCAGATCTACAACACAGAGCTCTAGTTTGATGTATACTATGCTGACAGGATAAAAAGAGAAGAAGAAAAGCATAGAGCTGAGGGAAAATCTTTGTGTTCAGTTACTTTTCTTTTCTCTGTAACCATGCTTATGTAATTTTTGGGAGTATCAGAAAAATGAAACATACATTTTCCAGAAGGGAATCTCTTATAGATCTCTTGAGAATATCTGCCTTGCTGAAACATTTAGATGTGATATTTATTTGCAAAGCGATGGGGCTCCTGTTGGTGGCAGACTGAGGGAAGACAGTGCAGAGTGGCCACCAGGCTGATAGTTGATATTAACCCACAGCACAGCCTCACTGCCTGATGGTTCTTTGTGCTTGCATGCAAGTCAGAATCCAATTAGTCTGAAATACGTTTACACAGAATTGTCACAATGATAATGAAAGAAGGTAGAAAATGTTACTCTCAGAAGTTACGCAAATACTGCCATTGTAGATGGGATCCTGGGGAAGAAAACTGTAAATGATGTAGGGATTGAGCGTCTTTGCTTAGCAGGATTTCAGTGACCCTATGAACCTCTGAACTTTGCCTACTGCTCTGATTAAACTGAAGATATTTACTTTTCTTTAGATACACACACATAGGCACATCCACAACACACACACACAAGTGGGGGAAGGGAGAAAAAAGAGTGCCCTGAGGTGACAAAGACTAGACAGAAGATAATGAATGCATCCAAAATACATCAGCCAGCCCACAGTTATTCTTGGATGTTTTGCTTCTGAAGATATATGAAGAAAGGCAGTAAATTGTTTAGTTATATAAGTTGACTGGAATGCCAGAATGTTTCCTGAACACTGAACAAAGTTATAGAAGAGAATGAAAGCTCTTCTATACACAATGTATTCTCTTTTACATTCTAGGACTAGAAATCTTATCCACTCACAAAATACTGTGGCTAAATGACAGAAGACTCTGTCCATTATTAAGCTTGAACTCAGAAGATATCATTGATAAATATGTGGCTAAGATTTATATGCAGGAAAAACCATTAGTAGTTTTATGATTTAAGAGGGTGAGGAACATTCTGAAAATTAATGAATTGGAAATCTGTTTAGATTCTGTTCTGAAAAAAAATTTACTTTTAAAAAAATGTTCGGGGTTAAATGTAGAACTGTAACATAGGAAGTCCTGATGAGAAATGGAACAAAATATGTGAAATAAAAACAGGAGTCTCAAAATACAAACACATTTTAATTTACTAATGGACACTAATGGCTTTGAATAAGGCTGGTAATGCTACTGATAATAAATGATTGACTTCAACCAATAGAAGTGTGACTAATATATTTGGTAATTTTTCTCCTTTGCTCTGGACATTAAGTAATTATTGGATACTGGCTGTGACACACACATTTTATGCATTTGTCACTGCCCTCTGTTGTTTGAGGTTGATATTATTGAGATTGGTAAGCATATACATGTACAATTGTAGCTATAAAGTCTGGTAGGTCTTCAACTTCTCCTTCCATATTATTATTGAGTGACTGCCTTTTGCAACCAACTTTGACACTTGGATTTCTAGTTGGCCCAATTCAGCTATCCTACATCTTTTAAATTACACTCTTCTTCAGCTATGCCTTGAAATTGGCATGTAGGTATCAGAATACCTTTAAGCTGCTCTTTATTTCTCACCTTCTGCCCATACCAAGTGTTGCGTCCACATAAAATGAGTATTGCAGTTATAGCACATGAACTACTGTATATTATGTAATTCACTAGTTGTCCTCTTTACACTGACTGTAAGGAAACAAAAACAAACTCGAAGTTCATTTCTCACAAATACCGCTTCAGGACAATACTTCCTGGAATAAGGTAGGGTATTAACTTACCAATTCATTCAGGTTTATTATGCCATGAGCTATGTCTTTGTGTCCTTCATATTTAGTTCTTGCTAAGCTCTTGAATAATATTGCTTCTCATATCCCAATCAACCAATGAGGCAAATGTGGGTGAATGCAGATGTTTGACTTGTCTATTTTGGAAATGCACTTTAAGGTTGCAGTTTGATCACAGTCCATTTTAGCGGTTGCATTCCAACCTAGGTGCTATTTCACTCTGCTAGACTCTTTGGGAAAATTGCAAGATGATTGATGGCTCTTATTTGTAGTTGACAGTCCAGTGATCTATTTCCCATTTTCTCTTTGCCATTTCAAATAATGGCAAATTTCTGCCATCATTTTCCTTGACCATGTGAACTGCTGGTTTCCTATGAGAACAGATTTGCTTTCCTGAAAAAACTCTGTGTTCTGGCATTCTGTGTGGATTTGCTCTCAACAAGTCAACCAGGTAAAGATTTATGGCAAGAGGGAGTCCTCAATGGTGCCACATGCTAAAGTGGCTGAATTTCATTACTGAGCTACAATGTTGGCCATAAATATACATCAGACTTGGAAGCACATCCCATGCCTGACACTCGCATCCATAGTTGGTAGTGGTTATGGTTGCAAAGAGAGACTATGAGCAACAGGACACCTCATTCTGGAGGTAGCCAAAGGATTACTGTTAGGCCTGTCAGTGGAAGATGATCTATGGTAGAACCCAGGATTATTGCTATGGTCTGAATGTTTGTGTCCCTACAAAATTAATATGTCAAAATCCTAATCTCCAAGATGATGATATGACAGGGCCTTTGGGAACCAATTAGGTTGTGAGGGCAGAGCTCTTATGAGTGTTCTTATAAAAGGGGCTGGAAAGAAGAGCATTTTCCCTTCTACCACGTAAGGACCCAACGAGAAGGTATCATCTACAAACCAGAAAACAGGCCCTCGCCAGACATAGACTCCGTCAGTGCTTCTTTCTTGGACTTTCCAGCCTCCCGATCTGTAATAAATAAATTTATATTTTTTTATAAGCTACCCAGTTTAAGATATTCTGTTATAGCCAACCAGATTAAGACAATTATCAAACATGGACTTGAGGGCTATGAAAAATGTCACCTTGAACTCATTATATTTACCGGAATATCTGAAATCCTGCAGTGCACACAATAGTAGTTTTTCATCAGAGCCCATCAAATGCATACACTGCTGCAGGAGAATGAGACTATGTCCAAGAGTAGTATT